TGGATAAAGGAGACGGTTGGGAGGAGAAAGCAATCAGAAACATTCAGTGTGCTCGGGATCGGATGAGAGAAGAAACACTAAAACTAGTGATAGACCAGAAATTCGTTGAGTATTCCCTCTACATTCACAGACAGGACAAAAAACTGCACAATACCTATTCGTCCATTGAGACGATCGAACAGGCCAAGGGGAAGGCTAAGAGGGCATGAGAATGCCTTGGATCCTCTTCCTCGAGGGTTTGACCAGCGCATTCAATCAGCGAGCGACACACAACTCTTGGTGCTCGGCGCAACTGTCTGTGATCAGTGCCCAGCACTGTTAACAGTGGCTAGTGCGTTGTGTTGTTATCAGTAACCAGTACCCAGAGTTGTTGTCAGTGAGTTGTACCCAATACCGATGTGTGTCAAGTGAGCAGTACTTTCGTACCACTACCAAGTGGGCAGGTGGATAACCAGTATGTGGCCAGTGTTCAGTCACAGTTACGCCTCTATTCAGTTAGTTTCAGTCAAAGATCAACCAGGTACATAACTCAGTGTTCTATCAGTACTCTGTTGGAAGCCCTATGCCAGACATTATTCAGCAGACAACAGTTGTATTTAGTCATTAAGTGACCACCGTATGGTAACTATTACTTCAAAGAATCTCAAGCAATATTCACCCATCGTTTAGACTTAGCAATCAGATCTGCAACCAGATCAGCAATCAGGTCAGCAATCATATCAGCAATCAGATCAGCAATCAGGTCAGCAATCAGAACAGCAATTAGATCAGGAGTCAAAACCGCAACCGGAAACTGCAACTAGAAAATAGTTTTCAGAGAGAGCATTCAGAAACGACAATCGGAAAAGTTTTCAGAAACGGCATTCAAAAACGACAATCAGAAAACAGCATTCAGAAACAGCATTCAGGAACGACTTTCAGAACGGCGGTCAGAAAACGGCATTCACACAATATTTAAAAGGCATTCAAGCGACGAACGTCTGTCAATCAAGCACAATCACTTTTCTCTATCAGGAAGTAACTACTTATCCAGACACATGAGAGAGATCAACCCTATCACAGTTGACCAACAGGTCCTTGACAACCTCAATTCGATTGCCGCCGGGGAGAGCTTTCCCTACAAATACGTCAGGATTGATGGGTTCAAGCGTGAAGACCTGTCTATCTTCATCGTTCTCACTTAGTTCGCTGAAGGCACAGTCAACGACCTGCGGATCTTCCTGAAAAAGGGGAACGAGACACACCCTCATTTTGATGCAGTGTGGGCCGCAGTAGGCGGGTATGTGCAGTGGAAAGCTGAGAGACTCCAAGGGAATACAAAGCTCGTCTATAGCTTGGTCCTAAGTTTTTCACTGATTATCCCAAGCCTCCGGTCCCTTACTACCTTACTGATGGCTCTTATTGGGGTGGAGTGGTGGACCTGGCCAAGCGGTACATATCGCCTGCAGAGATCGACTACGAGGCAGTGGCTGAGCCCTCTTAGTTCCCACATCTCAGGAGGGGCGTTTTCTCTCGGCCCTATCTCCCCACACTATGGGAGGAATTTTGTGCCATGCTTGACTTCTGTATTATGGGACTTGGCTGGAAGTGTGTGGAACTAGTGGGCTTCAGGTGGCTTTACATTCAGAAGTCACAACCTCAGAGAGTACGGAGACATGGCAAGAGGCCTAAACGACAAGCAGCAAAGTGACAGATGAAGAGTGAAGTTAAGGGGGTTGAGTGAGGACTCTTGATTGTTGCCGGCCATGCTCTCTTCCATATGTACTCTCTGAGACTATTATGAGTTCTCATTCCTCCCTCATTCATTTGCTCTTGTCATTGCTCGGGTCAGTCGGTTTTGCTTCTTGCATTGTTCTTGTCTGAAAATTGCTATCGTGGATGATTCTGTCACAGTTCTCAAAATCAGATTGACATAATTGATGCATGCATAGCACCCCATAATTTTATGATTGTTATTTGCATGATTCTCTGTTGTTCCGTATCAAAATAAAAGATTTCGAAGATCGGGGACCGGCGAAGACCGCAATTGAAGGGTCTCGCTCGAAGCCGGACGCACACAACAGGAAGGGATTTGCATTATTTAATTTATTTTATTTATTGCAAACGCATACGAAATCCTGCGTGACAGCCTGTTGGTTTTTCGGTCACCCGAAGTGGCCCGACTGGAAAAAGTGCGACACCGGGGGCGGGGGTGG